CACCTAGGTTTTTGGGATCAACATTTATTCAAATTTTTTTGCCACCTTCTAGTATCTAGTTGACCAAATAATATTCAGGATCAAAGTTCAATGACCTTTATACAACATATGATGGTCATAACTCCTCAATTATGGGAAATTCTTGACGCCTTAGAGTACGGTGCGTTGACCAAATATTCAGTGTCAAAGGTCAGTATAGCCTTTATATAGCAAGTTCCAGGTCATAAATCCTCAACTACTTGGTCTCAAAGCACGAAAAATTGTGTCTACACTTAGATTTTTGGGGTCAACTTTTATGGCAACATTTAACCGCCTTCTAATAGATGCGATGACTAAATATTTATGGTCAAAGGTCAGTGACCTTTATACAACTATGATCGTCATAGCTCGACCAGTTTGTCTAGATGCACAAAAATAGTGGCTACACCTAGGTTTTTTGGATAAATTTATTAAAGTATTTTTGCCACCTTCTAGTAGCTGCGTTGGCTAAATATTCCAGGTCAAAGGTTACTGACCTTTATCCAATATAATATGATGGTCATAATTCCTCAACCACTTGGTCCAGAAGCACAAAAATATTGCCTACACCTATAGTAGGCCTGTTAAGCGAACCAATCCTTCAAATTGTGATAACATTCTGAAACTTGGCACAGTTATTCATTGGGGTATCAACAACATGGAATTGAAGGGTTGCCCAAAACTTGGTCGGGGGAAAGTGGCTATTTTGGATTTCAAAATGGTTGACCCCAAATGTTCACTTTTTAGGTATATCTCAGTTGAAAGGCACCTAAATTGTTCTGATTTTGGGGGCAAAGTATATGGTATTGGGGTCAACAAACATTGGTATAACTTACATTTCGATTGCATGGTGGCCATTTTGAATTCCAAGATGGCTGCCATTAAATTGCATTACAACGCATATCTGAACTTGTAGAGCCTCAATTACGGTGAATGTTATCGGGTTTATTAAACAAATATATGCAATTACAAATAATGACTGAATAAATGTTGGGTCTTTTGAATTCAAAGATGGCCACCAAATACATGGTTTCAAGGCTTATTCTTTTATAACACCTTTATTACATGCAGTAAATATGGTGTAATTATTGGTCACAAGAAACATTTTGGATACAACCTCACTTATGATTTCTGATTTGGGAGACAAAGTCATTGTAATTGGCGTTAAGAAAACCTATTATATAGATATAACTTGTATTATGATTGCATGATGGCCACTTTGAATTCCAAGAGAGCCGCATTCAAATGAGTAGGTCAATGCATATATCTTTAATATTTAGGGCTCGATTACAGTAAAATGGTGTATATTTTTGGAGTTTACAAGCATATTGATACAATATCCATTATGATTACATGGGGATCTTTTTAATTCCAAGATGGCTGTAATCTATTACCCGCTTTAC